AAGACTGGAGACGAGAGAGCAGTCGACAAGCCCTCAGGCGGGCAAGAGGCCCGGCGGGCCAGCGAGGCTGTGCACGGGCACACACATACACGCACACGGGGGCAGACACACGCCAGTGTCAGACGTTGGCTGTGGACATTTCTGTCGAGCAGTCGAGCCGCGAGTGCGGCGAGCACAACTGACGAGGCAGAATGGGGCAACGAGCAAAAGGGCCGCGGGCGGCGGATGACGAAACGTCGACGGCGTGTGTGTATGCGTTTGGGCTAGAGTGTTGGCGTGTGGAGGCGCGGTGACGTCGAGGCGTGAGTGGTGCGGCCGAGCGTCGTGTGGTCCGGCTGGCGCCGAGTTGAGACTTCGTCTGGCGAGACTGGGGCTCTGGCCAGCTGAGCAGGACGAAATGTGACGCCTGGGCCGTACTCCGCCGGCGGCTGTCAAATGGGCGACTAGCCGGACGAGTGGTGCGAACTAGAGGAAAGGCCGTGCGCACTGCCTGGCCGACACAGCACGCCGACAGGCGCACAGACCCGCCGGCACGGCGTCGGCCGAGCGGCTCCACACGCGCATGCGCGGGCAGCCTCGTGGTCTCGCCGCCTGCAGCCTGCCGCCTTCAGCTGCACCACACTCACTGCCGCCTCACTGCGTGCCTGCGCGCAGGCGCACGTGCGAGCGTCCGTGCGTGCCGGGCCGGCTCACCCATGACCCAGGCCCGCCAAGCCAGACTATTCGGTGAGAGGTTGCGGTCTGAATGCACGTGTCTGTCTGTTGGCAGGTCGGCCGAGTGCAGGCGCTGTGGCACAGAGCAGGCCAAGAGACGAGCGATAGCCCAAGCTGCACGCGCGTGTGTCCATTCTGGCCTGGAGCAACAACTCGAAGCCAATCGGTGCCAGGGCGAACCAGCCGAGCCAATATAGAAAGCAGCCGAGTCGACGAATAGTGCAGCCACCAACTAGTGTGTGTGCGCGCGCGCGTATGTGTCTGTGTGCGTGTGCGTGTGTATTGGTGTGCTTTCCGCGAGCACGAGTGGCGCGCGTGGGTGGGCCCAACCGATGCGCCAGTGCCAGTGGCCCCCGGAGGCGCCGGTCGGTCGACAAATCCGGCAGCAGACGCGGGCGGGCCGGCACACATTCGAGACTCGCGCCCACCGCCTGTCTACGAACCGCCACGCCACCGCTAGAGCCACCCGATTGGTCCAAACGACAGTGAGGCCCTCCCGATGACTACTAGGCGTCTTGATCCCGACCGGTAGATAGGCCCATCAGAAAAATGATCTCAATCCCCGCCTAACTCACCTGCAACAGGACTGGAAGCCGGTCAATTCAGTGCATCTTTTCGACGTGTTGCCACTACCACCTTTGCATGTTACGCATTGTTTTGGTCAGAGTGCTGCTACC